CCCCCACTTTCTCCTGTTCCCCTTTCCTCCTGCTTTCATGTAGGGTAACACAGGTTTCTATTACCAATTGAGTATGTACACATATTTTCTTTCTTTGAACTAATCTAAATGTAAGTGAAGTTCAAACACTGCCCACCCCCCTTCACCCCCACCATTTTCCCCTCCACTGTAAAAGTTCTTTTAGGTGAGATAGTTTTCCCCATTCTTCCTCTTCCTTACACCTTCTCTCAGGGCATCCCTCTTTCTCACCCATCCACTTTTAAAAACCTCATCCCAACGTTATCAATTCACTCTCATACCCTCTATTTAAAATCCTTCTAACTGCCCTAATAATGAGAAATTTCATATAAGATACAGGTATCATCTTCCCACACAGAAAACAAAAAGTTTATTATTGAGCCCCTTAAGGTTTCTCTTTCATGTTTACCTTTTTATGCTTCTCTTGAGTCTTATATTTTAAAATCAGATTTTCTATTCAGCTCTGGTCTTTTCATCAGGAATGCTTGAAAGTCTTCTATTTCATTAAATATCCTTTTTTCCTGGAAGGATTAGACTCAGTTTTCCTGGGTAGGTTATTATTGGTTGTAAACTTAGCTCTTTTGTTTTCTGTAATATCATATTCTAAGACGACTTCTCCTTTGATGTGGTAGCTGCCAAATCTTGTGTTATCCTGACTCTAGTTCCAAGGTATATGAATTGTTTCTTTCTGGCTGCTTGAAATATTTTCTCTTTGACCTGGAAGCTCTGGAATTTGGGCATAACATTCCTGGGAGTTTTCATTTTGGGATCCCTTTCTGGAGGTGATTGGTGGAGTCTTTCAATTTCTATTTTACCCTCTGGATCTAAGATACTGCAGCAGTTTCCCTGGATAATTTCTTGAAATATGATGGCTAGGCTTTTTCTTTGATCATAACTTTCATGTGGCCCAACAATTTTTGCTCTCTCTTCTGTCCTTCAGGTCAGACATTTTTCTGATAAGATATTTCACATTTTCTTCTATTTTTTATTATTTTGTCTTTGTTTAACTGTTTCTTGATGTTTCAGACTCATTAGTTCCCACTTGCCCAAATCTAATTTTTTTTTTTAGTTTTTAAATTTATTTTAAAGTTAAATACAAAATAAGAAAAAATTGCCATTTACACAGCATAACATAAGAGAGGATTCAATATAAAGCAATGGATTTCTATTTCACGAAAACCTGTATAATGAATACTACAGTTTTCAAAGCTGTACATCTTTTCTTTACTTCCTTGTATGTTTTCTTTTGTCCTCTGCTATGCACTTTTTATTTTTATTTTTTCTCCTTCCACCCCTCCTCCCAGCTACAATTAAGCACAGACACACACACACGCACGTGCACACACACACACATACACGTATACATAGATATCCATAAACATACCAATATATACATATGCACTCAAACACATATATGTAAGACCATATTATGCATATTTCCACTTGTCATCTATTTCTCTGAAAGTGGATAGCATCTTCCTTAAGTTCAAGTCTTTCCATATTTTTCTAAATCTACCAGTTCATCATTTCCTATACCACAACAATATTCCAACCCAATCCCATTCTATCTGGAAGATTATCTATGAGAGTTTTTTCCCCCAATTTTCTGCATTCCCTCTATTCTTGCCTACACAGGCTTTATTTATACGGGAAAATTTTTTGTTTAAAATAATCAAAATTATCCATGTGGCACTTCAACACTTCTCTCTCATTATAATATGGTTTAAGATCTGATACTACTGAATCTATTTCCTTCACATTTTTTTCCCTTGGTTTCCTTAAAGTTCCTGACCCTGTACTCTTCCAAATGAACCCTGTTATTTTTTCTGACTCAGGAAGATACTTTTTTAGTAATTTAATTGAGATGGCATTACATGAATAGATTAGGTAAAATTATCATTTTAAAAAATTTTATTAGCTTTACCTACCCATCCACAAAAAATATTACTTCAATTATTTAGATATAACTTTGCTTGTATAAAGGGTTTTGTACGTTACATTCGTATAGTTTCTGTGTCTGTTTCGGCACAATTCTAATTTTATTGTCTCTGGCTTGAGAGTGCCCATAGCTACTGCACTTCTGTCCCCACCACTTAGTCCCAATTACTGGTGTTTCATCCACATGGGTACTGGGCAAGCCTCTTCCCCTGTGCCACTGATTTCTCTTTCTGACTTCCTATGTTGTCTATGTTGTGAACGTTTCACTCTGACCTTTTGTTGGCTTTGCCACTCCAGAATTTGATTTCAGTTGTTATTTTAAAGCTGTTTGGAGGGGAATATTGGGAGAGCTGAGTAGAATGCTTTCTCTACTCCACCATCTACTTCCCTATTATTGTTGAGGGAACCACCATCCTCCTAATCACCCAGGTTCACAAACCTAGATGTTACCCTCAATTCCTTATTGTCTCTCACCATTCATATGCAATCTCTTGCCAAGGCCTGTTAATTTCATCTTGTAACATATTTCACACACACTCCCTTCTGTCCTCTGACACTAACCAAGCTGGTATAAACCCTCATTATCTCATACTTAGACTTTTGCAAATGGTTGCTGTTTGGTCTGCTTGCCACAAGTTTCTACCTACTTTAGTCCATCCTCCACTCAACTGTCAAGGTGATTTTCCTTAAATACAATTCTGACCATGTCACCCCTGCCCCATATGCATTTCAATAAACTCCAGTGGCTCCAAGATCATACATAAAACTATCTGTCATTAAAAGTCCTACATAACTTGCCTCTCCCCCTGCCTTTCCAGCCTTCTAATACCTTATACTTCCCCCATCATGAACTTTGGGATCAGCGACACTGGCCTCCTTGCTGTTCCTTGCACAAGACATACTCTATCTTCCAACTCAGTGCTATGTGTATATGTGTGTATGCATATGCATCTGTACATATATATATATGTGTGTGTGTGTGTGTGTGTCTGTACACATATGTACATACATACATAACATTTTATATATGTATATAGCATATGTATATTGAAGAAATATTTATACTTTGACCTCTTGTAATTTTATTCATACAGAAACCTATAATCTAATGTGGAAATAAACAGTTTTAAAATAATAAAATGGAAATGAAAATGGAAAAAAAATGCTCATTTAAAATATTTTTTTATCTAGCCTTTTTTATACTTAATGCTTTAAAATAAATTCTTACCACTCCAATGCCTTCAAAAGCAAATACAGCTGTACCAAAAAAGAGTGGATATTTCTTCCAACCAGCCACAGCTGGAAGACTTCGGGGATCTGGTATATCCTAGTGATTGAAGAAAAAAAAAAACTTTCACAGATAGGTAGGAGGAGTTCTTAATTAATCCAATGAAATTTACAAAGAACAAAATCAATTACCTTCTTGTGCTTCCTAAGTTTTTCAAAACATATAATTAATAATTTTTGTTTTCAAACAAAAATGACTGCACTTAAACCAGACTTACTCTATCAGGTTTAAACTCTCAAAAGCTGCTAATCCCCTTCCCATACAAGCTGTCCTGGGAATTAAACACTTCCAATTACCTCCTTCTACCAGCAGAATCCAGGGTAACTAATAACAGAATTGGATCCTAAAGAAAGACCTCAGGCAGAAAGCTACCCCAGTTAATAGGTCCTCACTGGTATTGGTATTTTTGGTTTATTTTCCAGCTTTCCTTGACCTACCCTTTTACACAGAGTAGGTTCATCAGTCATAAGTAATGGGGAAAGTTGAAATGTTCTTAATTAAGGACATTTGGATAGAAACCTTTCCCATCATCTTCCAACTACAGAAAATGGAATTTTATTTACTTTTTTATATAAATTTATTTTTTTTGTTTTCAACATTTACTTCCATGAGATTTTGAGTTCCAAATTTTCACCCCATCTCGCCCCTCCCCCCATCTCCAAGATGGCATGCATTCTGAATACCCCTTCCCCTAGTCTGCCTTCCCTTCTATCTCTACCCCTCTTCTCTTATCCCCTTCCCTTTCTATTTTCCTGTAGGGCAGGATATATTTCTGTACCCCATTTCCTGTATTTCTTATTTCCCAGTTACATGTGAAAACATTTTTTTTAAACATGTGTTTTTAAAACTTTGGGTTCCAAATTTTCTCCCTTCCTCCCTCCCCACCCACCCTCATTGATAAGGCAAGCAACTAAATATAGGTTATACATGTGCAGTTATGCACAACACCTCCATAGTAGACCTGCTGTGAAAAACTAACTCTATTTCCCTTAATCCTATCCCACCCCCCCCATTTATTCTATTCTTTCTTTTGACCCTGTCCCTCCTCAGAAGTATTTCCTTCTGATTACTGCCTTTCCCAATCTGCCCTCCTCTCTGTCATCACCCTACTCTCTTGTTCCCTTGCCCCCCTATTTTCCTGTAGGGTAAGACAGATTTCCGTACCCAACTGAGTATGTGTGAAACATATTATTATAAAAAATGTTTAGATAATGAAGTAATTGGGTCAAGAGTAATTGGGGACTTGAACTAAAGTGGTATTGGCATGCAGGCCTACATTATTAGCATGAAATAAAACAGGAAAACATAAAATTTGGTGGAATCATCTATCATCAAAACCCATTCTTAAAAAAATGCTATGGTATAAAAACCATAAAATATTTTCATAGTTTCTAAGTTATTTACAGTATTTTTAAAGTAACAATTAAAAACACATAATAATTTAAGATGTGTTATACTTACTCTAACAACATATTGGTAGATTATTATAAGACTGATGGCCATGGAAAGATTGGCAAGGAGTGAAAGGGCAGACAAGCTCTTGAGTTCACGAACGAGGACCAAAAGAAATACAAATGGGAGAAAGCAAAGCATATACATCCTCAGGTCAACACTTCTTCTCCCATGTAAAGTTGCTTCATCAGTACCATTCAGAGAGAACACTTTCTCTGAAATTCCTTCATGAATCTATAACAGGATTAGGGGGAGAAAGGAGAAAATATAGAGAAAAAATTTTTTAGACTTTATTATCTACTCAATATTATACAATAAAAAAATCTGGCTAAGATAACAAAAAGAAGGTATACAGAAATCAATAACCTATGGTACCCTGTACAATAATTACTCATAGTAATCTGTAGGCAAATAAAAATATAGCAGCATCATTTTAAGAACACCAACCTCCCAGAAGCATAGATAATCGAATCAATTTTTCCCTAATTTTAGCCGGAACTATTTTTTTAAAAAATTATTATTTTTTTCTTACTATGAAAATTAAGTATGATAAAATTGTGTTTAGAATTGACTCATTTATTTTGAAACTTCATGAAGCACCATACTTTTGAACTCTAATAAGACTTGACATGCATTTGGAATATATTCATTTTGAACATATCTAATATAGCAGCTGAGTGCACTAATATTGTATAGATCCAACCTTCAAAAGCCTATTTATTTCCTCTAGTTTTTAATACACAAGTTGTAATTATTTTTCAGAAATATAATGTGCCAAAATAAATTATTTTAAAAATCATAATCTGCCATTTAAAATATTATATTAAACAAATAATTTCAAATTATATTCAATAATTACATCAAGAACTCAATGTATGGCACCACAGTAGTAAACACTATATGATTTCACTTTAAACCTGGAGCAAGTAAACTATTTTACAAAAAAAGTCACTCTTTAACTGTAATCATATTTCATTTTTTGGTATGTGCAATTACTCTTATGAATTTGATGTCATCTTACTGCCCCACACTAAAACACTGACAATGAAATGAGAAAGGATTACTATACAAAAATGCTACTTGGAGCAGATCATACTAAGTTTAAATACCACTAAAATAAATCTGCGAAATCCCTTCCCTTGTTGTCTTGATTTAGATCACCCGCAAGCTCCCTTGTATCTCTGAGAGTATACGATTCTATAAATCATCCATTAGCCAGAAAATTAAAAGCCTGTCCTAGTAGTACTAGGAAAAACTTTTCTCTGTGTTATTTCTGTTATGCCTTACTAACAAAATGGACAACTGAAATCATGAATATTTCTATATGGATAGCAATAGATCTTTTGCAGTTTAAAATTGTACTCTCTTAAAATCTTTGGACTCAAGAATATTGTACCAATCTTGCACTGTTTTATGACATACACAGCACATATTTAACTTGTGAATTATATCAATCTATCAATGACCACAGATTTCCTGGGTGCAAGAATTTCCAATCTGAAAACTCTTATCTACCAATGCAGACTGTAAACTTGTCTACAGCAAAGCACAGAGAATTGCCTAAGACTTCATGAGGTTAATTGTCTTGTCTGTGGTTACCCAACTAATAACTGTGAGAAGTGAGATTTGAACCTAGGTATTTCTGTCTTTAAGTCCAGTAATCCATACAATAAACCACACTGGCTCTGGCTTACAAATTATCCTCCTAAAATTAAATGTTATATTATTTAAGTGGAATAGGAATAAAGTTGTTAATTGATAGCATTTAACTTTTATTCACATGTTACTTTTATTTACCTGATTTGCAAAGTAACCAAACTATTTAGGGCTTTGTAGGTGGCAAAGCCCTATCCTGCAATAATTCTAAAATAATCATTACAACTGCATACTAATGAGGAAAACTTTGATAAGGAACGTAACTTTAAAGCTAAGAATGCGGGAACCAGACGGGACCTTAGAGATCACTTAGTCTTTATGCCATCATTGTGTACAAATGAAAGAACGAGTATCTAGAAAAGTCAAGTGACTTGCTTTTAAACATTAAGGCTATCCACCAAGTTGCTGTTTTCTGATGAACTTTCTGTTACATTTTGATGGCTAAGCTGCCAAGATAGAAGCCTAAAGTATCAGGAAGTCTAACAGTGGATCTGTCACAACCTCCTTTTAATGTACTGGGTTACTTCACAAAACTCATAAGATACTTACATAAATAACCCAAATAATGAGAGTAATACAGATACATACCTAGACCCAGATTTGTATTCTTTATACTCTTTGGTGCCCTCTACAGTCAGAGGTTGATTATATAAAATGTGTGTGTGTGTGTGTGTGTCTGTGTATGTCTGTGTGTGTGTCTGTGTGTTCATTTCAATGTTCTGCCTTAGGTAAAAAAAAATATGTGGAGATATCTATCTATATATATATATATCATATGTGTGTAGAGCTATATATATCAAATATATTTAGCTCCACATGTCATCCATTGCATATATATATACATATATACACATATATTTCCACATATATCTATATGTACACACACATACACCTCCAAATATCATATATATTTTTTACCCAAAGGTAAAACATTGAAATGAACATATAATACACACACCTTTATTTTTCTGTAGTTGCCTATCATTGATGGGAAAAAGGTTAGACTAGGAAGAATTTCTTGAAGCCACGCAGCTTTCTCTGTGTGTGTGTGTGTGTGTGTGTGTGTGTGTATACACATAAAAATATGCTATATCTGAGATATAGCAATCACAGATAAATTTGTTGTCCCTACCTGCATAAATGCTTAATAAAGATTTTTAATAATGAAATACCATACATTCAATTTTATGCAGATAATGACACTGATCACAACTATATTTAATTAAAATTGTGTTTAAAATTATTAGGGTTTGACCAACAATTTCATTTCATCTATTTAGTCATTCAAACATTTATTAAGCACCTACAACTGGAATTGGCCAGTTGAGTCCCCAGGTTGTTGTTTGTCCTTTGTTCTCAAAGAGGACCATGGCATCAGGAAGGTGGTGCCATGATTTGCAAGTTGTTTTGGCCAGAAACCCTGAGGGTCTTTCCCTCCCAGATTGATTTTTTTTTTCTGAGTGAGGTCACTGGGGTTAAGTGACTTGCCCAGGGTCACACAGCTAGTAAGTGTCAAGTGTCTGAGGCTGGATTTGAACTCAGGTCCGCCTGACTCCAAAGCCTGAGTGCTATCCACTGAGCCACCCAGCTGCCCCACGATTTTTTTTGACTAGGTAAATGAAACCATTCTTTGTCTCATTTCTTACCTAGCCTTAATCACTGAATGGACATTTCCTCAGTCAAACTGAGACCTGGGAAAGACCTTAGCTTAAAAAGGCCAAGGTCTTCCATTGAATCTGGGGCCAACTCTAGTCATCCTGATTTATATCTTGTCATTGGACCCAGAGGACTCCGGAGGAGAAAGTGAGGCTAGTGACCTTGCATGGCCCTCCCTCACTTAAATCCAATTCACTTGCATGTCATGACATCACCTCCCTAACATCATGGTCCTCTTTGAGAACGAAGGACAAACAACAACAACAACAAGCACCTATGACGTGCACTTCATTGTATTAGGCACTGGAGAGACACAAAGTTAAATAAGGCACAGCCCTTGTCCTTGAGGAGTTTACAATCTAGCAGTGATGGAATATACACACAGAATAATATAAATTAGGATACAGAAAGTTCATAAAAGTACAAACAGGTTGCTATGAAGTTCAGACAGGGGAGTAGGGCTTAATGATTGAGGTGACCTTTGGGCTGAGCTTTAAAGAATGGGCTGGAGTTTAATAAACATAGTTTGGGAGTAGAACAAAGTGAGTATTTCAGGTGTAGTCAAGGGCATTAGCAGAGAAGGCAAAAAGATAAAACAAAGTGCTCCTGAATCATCACCTACAACGTAAGGGAGAATAGGTGAGGGTAAAAGTGTGAGACAGGAATGAGAAAGTCAGGCAGGGTGCCTGAGAATTCTAAGTTAGCTGCTATTAAATTCTCATGAGCTTTTCTACAGGGAAAAAAATTCTTGATCTTTTCCCCCATGTGCTCTGCTTAGTCGAATATATTTACCATTACTTTTAATTAATTTTTTCCAGTTTTGACTGTATACTCTTATCCAATCATGCCTTGGAAGTATTTACACTTCTCTATATACTAAAGAAATTCTTCTACAGAGCCAAGATGGCGGAGTAAGAAGTAAGTTGCTCACACCCTCCCTTACTGACCTCTGAAAGCCCAGAAAATATCACCCTAGGAAAAACCCTGGAACAGCTGAGCCAACAGAAACACAGGATGCAGCAATCTCGTAGCCCAGGAAGCTTGGGGGAATTAATGGAAAAGGCCCCTCTTGGTCTGGGGGAGGGGGAGCAGTACAGGATGGGAGGCATCCCAGCCAGTGGCAAGTCCCCACTTCAGCAAACCAGGGGCAGATCCTGAGCCCCAAGTGGTGGAGCAGGCAAGTGCCAATACTAGGAATCTCCCATCCCAATCCCCCTGAGTGCCTCAGCACAGGCAGGGTAACTGGTAAACACCAGCTCAGAAAACCACCACATTTGCTGGCATTCTCCAGCAACCAAATTTCCCAGTGCTTCAACACAACCCCAGCCTGGCAAAATCCTCCAGAAGCCAAATAATTGAGTGCTTTAAAGAAACACGGGTGAGCAGGCATCCTCCAGGGGCCAGACTCCCTACCTCTACCCTGAGAGCTCCAGTGCTGCTCAGCACCCCAGTTCAGCACCAGGTAAGCTGCCAGACTCTTACAGCCTCCAGCTGCCAGCACCTGGGGCCCCAGTACACAAAGCCAGTGATCAGATCCTGGGCTCCCAGCACAAGAAGCTTGGGTCAGTGCCCCCTATGCTCCAACATGAGAGCTCAACTTTAAAAGCCAGGAAACAGGCACACACCATGAGCAGAAAGCAGAAATGGACAATAATCATAAATTCTTTTTACGGGGACAGGGAAGATCAAGGCACAAATTCAGAAGAGGACATTGTCAATATACCCACATTCAAAAATCTCAAAGGGGAATATGAACTGGTCTCAAGTCCAAAAAGCTTTCTTGAAAGAGCTCAAGAAGGATTTTAAAAGTCAAATAAGAGAGGTAAAAGAAAAATTGGGAAAGGAAATGGGAGGTATGCAACAGAGAATCAACAGCTTGAAAAGGAAGGACAAAAATTGACTATAGAAAACAAGTCCTTAAA